AGCCCCGCCCCCCGCAGTCCTCCCCGGAGTAGCCGGGGTCGCACACGCAGCGTCCGTCCTCGCATCCGCCCCTCTGATTGCAGTTGCGCGGGCAGGAGCGCTGGCTGCAGTCGGGGCCCGAGAAGCCAGCGCGACACACGCACGCACCCTGCACGCAGCGTCCGCGCCCCTGGCAATCTCCGGGGCACGAGGGCCAGCCGCAACTGGGGCCGCTGTAGCCTGGGAAGCACACGCAGCGTCCTCGGACGCAGCGACCCTGGTCGTTGCAGTCATCGGGACAGGTCCTGGAGGCTGAGGGTGGGGACGAGGTGGGCGTCTTAGTGTCCGTAGGGTCTGAGCAGGTGGGTCCACCCCAGCCAGGCTCGCAGGAACAGGCGCAGCGGCTCAGGTCAAAGACACCGTGGAGGCTGCAGAGGCTGCGCACATCCGTCTGGCCTGGTGCGGGAAGAAGCGAGACCCAGCCCGTGTTAGAGCCTATGCCTAGCCCAGTTTCACAAGGCCATCTCAGCCCTCCTGTGAGTGTTTGCACTGACTCTGGCCCTTCGCTGCACCCATCACCCCTAAAGACCAGGGGTGGCACATTGTGTCCTTCATACCAAGGATCCTTGACATCATCCTCGGCACCCCTCCTTTTTGCCACCCCACCCCCCACCGATGCTCACCCGTGCCAGCCTGGGCGGCCGTGGGACAGCACCCTCCTGAGCAGTGCTCCTTGAGCCCTTTCACCAGCTCCTCCAGGATCTCCAGACGGACCTTCAGGGCCTGCACCTCTGAAGCAGGCACCGGGGGTTCAGTGCCCGGGGGACAGCCACAGCCAGCTGAAGGGGGCAGGTTAATGCGGTGTGTGAACACCACCTGCTTCTCCCCTCCTTCCACGGTGTGCTCGTACAGCTGAGAAGAAGGGCCCCCTGGCTGGGGAGGGGGCCGAGGGGCCGGGAGGGTCACATTGGACCGAGGAGAGAAAGGGCCTGCTCTGGCTACGCCGAGCCACACCAGGAGAGTGAGAATAGACGTCCAGGCGCATTGAGCTGGCATCACTCAGGAGGCTGAAGGGAGAGCGGATGTGTGAGAACCAACGCAGCTACCCACAGCCGATCCCCAGGGCACCAACACAACCCTGCTAGCAACAGACGCAAATCACAGGCAGCTGAGAGGCCAAGCCTAAAGGACAGCCTCTCTGGGCAGGCCTGCTCTGTGTCACTTTGGAAGTCAATTGCTCACCCTGTCTTCCCCACTTAACCGGTGAGGCTCCCCGATCCTACGCCATGTCACCCCCTTTTCTTTTCTTTTCTTTTCTTTTCTTTTCTTTTCTTTTCTTTTTTTGGTTTTTCAAGACAGGGTTTCTCTGTGGCTTTGGAGATTGTCCCGGAACTAGCTCTTGTAGACCTCTCAGAGACATTCTCCTGACTCTGCCTCCCAAGTGCTGGGACTAAAGGCGTGGGCCACAAACGCCTGGCAACCACCCAGTTTTCAGTTTGCTCCACAGACCAGCCTCGGGTAGGTCCTCTGTGCCGTCTGGTCCCTCTGTCTAGAATGCTGACCTCTTACAGTTCTGCACCTAACCGGCATAACTCAGGCCATCCTCATGTTGATCAGGGCAGTTTGTCCCCTCCCAGTCAGAATAGCCTGCTCATACTCCTCATGGCGTTTAGTGTGGCCTAGACATCCGTGCTTAGAGGTCACAGCACCATCTGTGCTGGTTTCTCCCGCCACCGAAAGGGAGGTCCGTGAGGACGGAGACCTCACCCGTCCTGGCTCCGATGCATGTACTTAGCATGAAAATTGGTTGGATAAAGACTTCACCCAAGACGTCTGTGCCAAGGGAATCTAGCATATGAGGCCAAGCCCCCACCCCCGCCCCAGCACCTGGACCCAGCTCCCTGGTGCCCCCTGTCTGACAGATTCCCTCGGGTGTAGGATTTGCTCCCCTCCTTTCTTTCCTTTTCTTCTTCCTCCTGGCTGAGCTTCAGGCTCTACTCTGCTGGGCTCCCCCTCTTAATCCTTTCCTGTCAACTAAATATTTCCTGTGAGCCTTAAAAAAGACATACATTTATTTATTTGTTTGTTTATTATGGGGAGCTGGGCAGACCACAGCGTGACTGTGGAAGGCAAAGAATAACTTTCAGGCATCCCTAGGATTTCACTTGGTTTCTCCGGTTTGGCAGCAAGTACCTTTACCCACTAAGCCATTTTTCCAGCCAGCCTTTTCATTCTTGTTTATTTATTACATTTTGGATTTTTTGAGTCAGGATTTCTCTGTGTAACAGCCCCGACTGTCCTGGCACTCGCTCTGTAGACCAGGCTGGCCTCGAACTCACAGAGATCTGCCGGCTTCTGCCTCCCGAGTGCTGGGATTAAAGGTGTGCGTTACCATACCGGCTCACCTTTTATTTTATTTTATTTTATTCTTCTCTCATACATTGCATCCTGACTGCAGCCTCTCTTCCCTCCACACCACCCCCCCTCTCCCCCAGATCCACTCCTCCTTTCCCTTCAGAGACGAGCAGACTCCCAGGGATAGCAACCGAACACAGCATAGCGAGATGCAGTAAGATTAAGCACAAACCCTCACATTGAGGCGTCCAAGGCAACCCAGTAGGAGGAAAAGGTCCCAAGAGTATTGCTTTTTTACTTTTTAAAAATATATTTATAAGTCAGGAGTTGGTCTCTAAAAACAAAAATTATATATATATATATATATATATATATATATATATATATATATATATATAATTTTATTTATATTGGTGTTTTGCCTGTATGTCTGTGTGAAGGATATCAGATCTTGGAATTGCAGACTGCTGCGAGCTGCCATGTAGGTTCTGGGACTTGAATATCTCCAGTTAAAAAACACAACTCTCCCTTAGAAGTGTCAGATACCAAGCTTTACAGAAGTGCTGGGGCGCGAGGGTGGAGAAGGATTCAGAAAAGGTCCCATCTATATTTGGTTAGCTGATTGATGGCTAAGGTACTATGACAGTTAAACGGAGAGAGGGCGGAGCTGGAGAGATGGCTAGGGGCTTAAGAGCACCTACCCACATGGAGATTAACAACCCTCTGTAACTCCAGCTCCAGGGGAGCTGACACCCTCTACAGGCACTGCATACAACTGGTGCACAGACATACATGCAGGCAAACCACTCATATACACACAAAAATAAAATAGTAACTAAATCAAATAAATAATGTCGCATCAATTAAAAAGCCAAACTGGGTAGTGGTGGCTCATGTCTTTAATCCCAGCACTTGGGAGGTAGAGGCAGGTGGATCTCTGTGAGTTCCAGGCCAGCCAGGTCTACAGGGCAAGTTCCAGGACAGCCTCCAAAGCAATACAGAGAAACAAAACAAAACAAAAAACTAAAGAACCATATAGGGAAAACAAAAAGAATTGGTCTCTACCCTATGTCCAAATACAGAAACTACTGTGAGATGGATCATAGTCCTAAATACAAAAGGGAAAGCCAAGGTTCCCATAGCAACACAGAAGAAAATATGACTGGAGTAAGTGAAAATTGCATAAGTGAGGCACACAAACCTAACAACGAAAGAATGAACACAACGGACCTTGCTGGAAGTGATAACTTCACTGCCTGACTTATTCCCTCCCTGTGGAGGCTGGAGCATGCTGGGCAAAGGCTCTACCACAGAACTGTATGTCTAGCTCAAGAACTGAAAACATCTGGTCATCAAATGACATCAGTAAGAAAATAAGACAATTCACAGACAGGGAAAGCGTGTGAGGTGAACACGAATTCGAGGGTTAGGAGAGGAAGAATCAAAACAGAGGTGGGGTGATGGCGGGTCCATGGGGAGAGAGAGAGAGAGAGAGAGACAGACAGACAGACAGACAGAGACAGACAGACAGAGAGAGACAGAGAGACAGAGACAGACAGAGAGACAGAGAGACAGAGACAGAGAGACAGAGACAGAGATGGAGAGAGACAGAGACAGAGACAGAGAGAGACAGAGAGACAGAGACAGAGAGAGAGAGAGAGAGAGAGACAGAGACAGAGAGACAGAGACAGACAGAGAGACAGAGAGACAGAGACAGAGAGACAGAGACAGAGATAGAGAGAGACAGAGACAGAGAGAGAGAGAGAGAGAGAGACAGAGACAGAGAGACAGAGACAGACAGAGAGACAGAGACAGAGACAGACAGAAAGAGACAGAGACAGAGACAGACAGAA